AATGTTTTCACTCTGACTTTGTTCAAGTATCATACTCTATAATGGCAATCTGCATGTCACTCTATTGCCTGCCACTGTCTAATTGTTTCCTTAGATGATGCAGTTATCGGCAACTTCAAAGAGAAGTCGTTCTCTAATATTTGATTCGCCAGTGCCGGGTGATCTTGTAGGTTCAACATCTTTGTCAGTAAAGCTGTAAAGTTGTCTGTTCTATGCAAATTACTAATATATCATACAATTGTGTAGACAACCTATTATTAATAGCCTGCAGCCATTGGGTTTATGCAAATCATGTATGACCAGCTAAATTTAACTCATTACCAGCTAGCAAACTGAATAATTCTACAATTGAATATGGTAAAACAATTACATTTAATTATTTTTCAGAACAGTTTTTTATTTATACTGGTTTTTATTTTAGTAATCTAATCTTCATCACTGCCATCACCATCTCTGTTATTACCTTCATATATCTCCATTTCTGCCATTACCTACCGTATATCACCATTTTCACCATCACCAACATCACCATCATCACATTACCACTATTTCTACCATTGGCTTTAAAACCATCATTGCCATCACTGCCATTACCCTCAACACCATGACTACCATTACTATCTCCACATTCACTGCCATTCACGGTTATTACCATCATCACCATCTCTACCTTTATTATTATTGCCACCAATATTGCCATCAGCACCACTAACGTCTTCATTACCACAATCATTACTGTGACTCCACCATCATTATCATCATCAGCCATCATCATCTAAGTCACATCACTAACTTAATCGTTATTATAATTATTAATGCTCAAACAAATTTTAAATTCATCTGGTTTTGTCAAAAAGCAGTCATATTACAATCAATCAATTGTAATATGCCTTCTTGCTGGTTTTGTTATTAATATATTAAACCCAATATTAAGTCTGTAAATCATATGTTTAACAAATGTCTGGTCATATTTTGAAAAGTTTACACAAACAAATATAACAAAGCATGGACATGCAATATTGGTATTTATTGTTTTACTAACTTTTGCATCTGTATCAATAAGCTATAAAAAGCTCAGCCTCTGTTGCATAGTATTAGGTGGATTGTATTTTTTTGATACCAGAAATGCTTTAATAAACCGCAGAATTTAGCATCTCTGCGGTTATACCAGTTATGATAATATGTTAGGTCAAACATAACAGACAATGTCTAATCAGATTGTCATTCACATGTCATTGCATGCCTTTTGGAACTTAGACATTGCTCTACTTCATCAGACAAAGGCGGCATTGTCTGTTAAGCTGACAAAAAAATGATGACGTATGCTTGGCTTTTGGATTTTATGTTATGACTTGTGAAATTTATAGTAATAGTCCACATTATCAAGTTTTATGTGAAAAAATACTGTATGTGTGGTTTGCTAATTTTTGGCATGATGATGTACACACCCATGTTTTGGCATGATGGTGTCACTATATCCATATATTGGCATGATGCCTCTAACACACCTATATATTGGCATTAAGGTGTCATAACACATCCATATATTAACATGATAATGTCATATCACAACCATATATTGGCATGATGTAATATCACATCCATATATTGGCATGATCATGTCATATCACATCCATAAAGTATTGGCATGATGATGTCATATCACATTCATATATTGGCATGATGATGTCATACCACATTCATATATTGGCATGAGGATATCATACGATAGTATAATACATACTCCAAGTATCAAAATGCACACCATCCTGTCATGTCATACCACATCCATATATTGTCATGATGATTAGAAGCGATTGGTGCATTGGTTGTGGCTTGTACTCCCAACCTTGAGGTCAGGGTTCAAACCTCTCGCTGTGCAAGTTGCTTGTGTCCTTAGGCAAGGCACTTTATCTACGTTTGTCTCTCTCTACTCAGGAGCATAAATGAGTACCTGGTAGGATGTGCTAAGCATGGAGGAAATATATTAAGATAATATGTAATAATATATTTCCTCTATGTGCTAAGCAAGTAGCACATGACTAGTTATACTTCCCAGGGAGCGGAGAAGGTTGCACTAATGAATATATATTTGTATATTTGGTATTCCTTTCATTAATAAACCATCTTTAGTGTACATCACTAATATATCAAACATATTGAATAGCAAGAAACTGACTTAAAGTGCTTTTAAGGTTAACATTACAGTATTTAACACTTTGTTATGCCTTTAAAATTTATTTATTTATTTATTTATATATTCTGTCTTTTTACTGCATGCACTTTCAGTATTTGTGTATGTTTTTCAAAGTGGTACAGTTGCAAGTTATACAAATATTGAAAAGCAATGCAAGTAAACATAAGCATTCCTAAATGTATATATATACAATACAAATAATTAAGTGCGAATTCTTAAAAGATGAAATAGTCCATGAAATTAGTTGTGTCATATGGAAGATCATTCCACAACTTTGTTGAACGATACAAAAAAGTTCTCTTGCTTTGACAGTTATTCAATTGTGGTACAATAAGGTTATTATGAGATTGACTACCTGTACATTTAGAATGGGAATCAATATTCAAAGTAAATTTAGAAGATAGATAGATGGAGTATACCCTTTTAAACATTTAAAAGTCATTAGGACTAACTGATCATTCCACCTTACATATAGTCTTTTCCAGGCAAGTGAACTTAAAATAACATCAATAGAAATATATATATACATCAACAGACAAATCAATTCTACTTAATCTGTTCATTTGAAAACAGTGTTAACAAGTACAAAACAAATCTTTTGAAATTTAGTTAGATAACAGCTTCATTATTTGAGACTTACAGAAACAACAAATAAGAAACTAAATTGCAAAGGGCAGTCGTCAAACATGTTATATTGGTATTTGCTTTATTTGTTAAGATTGATGTTTATAGTTCCTTGGTTGTCTTTTAAAGAATCTTCAAGGCACTACTTCCAAACGGTCAGCAGCACCAGGTGGCGGTCCAAATCCAAGTGCATCGATGACAGCGCAGACTCCAGCCAGGATTCCTTTCAGCCCGTCCCCACAGACACATCATCATGTAAGTGGCAGAAATATAGGTGTGGAGCAGTGCGTTAAGATGTGGGACAGAAGAGATTGTTTTTAACAATATTTATAATTTGCTTAGTGATTTTTAATTTCTTTTAATTTTGTTTTTATGGAGGTGTGACAGCTAAAGGTTTCATGTTGTAGGTATTGTTTGCGACATTATACCCTCTATTTAGTATGTTAATGATGATTTTAAATTTTTCTTTTTCTGACAGACAACTGTAGATGACAGAGCTCCACAGTATTTGTGTATCCTTTTATTTAAAAATTGAAATGAGAGACATATAAAAATTGTGGTATATTGAAGATGATAGTTATTACTATCATGTCTATATTATCATCATTACCATTATCTTCATCATTGTCATCATCATCATGAAAATTCCCATCGTCAAAAAAGTTGCTTCTTGTCTGCATCATGATATGATCATTATTATCACCAGCATAAACATTATCATCATCTTCATCAGCATCATTTTTTTAGATTAATGAAAGAAGAGAGTGAGAGAATATTTTTTTTGTATTGAAACAGATATTTCTTATATATTACTATTCATACTCAATCTACCTCATCATTTTCGTCATCATCATCATATCTTCATCATCATCATCATTATCATCATCTTTACCATTGCTTTTTGCTCTTCAACTATCTACTTGTACTGTATATGTTACATATATTTTCAATGTAGTGTGGTTGACCTTTGACAATTCAAACCAGTTGTTGATAATCTTGCAACCACCGAGATTATCGTTAATTACTCATCCTTCTCGCGTTGGCTAGATCCACCTCTTGAGCCTCCTAAAACCTCCGTCAATAAAGAAGTGTTTGTACCGCCGACACCAGGCTTGCTTGTTGCTGAACCCTACTCCTGGAAGAGTCTTGTAGTTGGCCAGCCAGTTTTAAGAATTCGCACAACATTTTCCAAAGCAGCATGTTTGACACTACCCCCGGGGTGAGTATTTTACAAACCAGTTCCAACAGAATTACTGCAAACAATAAAAATATATGTGAAAATACATAATCATTATTATTTGTAATTTCCAAACACCTTTGTTACACTTTTATTGCTGAGATTACATTTTGATGTTTTGCATTTTTCTCATTTATAAGTTATTTAAGACATACCATATGAATGTGTGCTCAATTTTTGCATTTCAGACGTCACGTTCTACGCTTTATGATGAGCGCCCCTCTTGGTTATCATGTTCACCTCTGCTCGACTGTTCAGTTTGTTTTTGGTGATGAGGAGACAGTAATGTCAAACTTGACTAAGGTAGGCCCAGTATACACAATTGGCTCATTGACACAGTACATCTTTCGAGATGAGTAGGGGGTTACCCCGGTGTACTGGTCCATACAGCCCCCCTGTTATCATGTGCTTACGGACTATTAGGTCCTTTGCAAGATGTACCTATGTAAACGTAAGGACGATAATGCACTTATTTATTATTTCATTTTTAATGGAATTTATTATTATATAAAACACTACCATCAGTATAACATGAAAAATGTCACTATTTTTAACTATTTTCTTGGTGATTTTAGGAGAGTTGTAGATTCGTTGACCATGCTCTGCAAGTGATGCGATGTATCGGGACAGCTATCCAGCAGTTTGACAACGAGTCTGGGTTCAAAGAGGGGATGGCTGCTTTAGCAGATACTCACAACCCTCAGAAAGGAGATGTGATTGCTTCCATCCATAACCATGAGGTAACAGTCTATTCTTACAATTTAAAACAAATTATTGCGTAGTTGTTATTTTTTTCTTCTCATTTGATTAATCAATTAATTGCTCATTATGCAATGCTTCAAGAAAAATGTGTCCTTAATGGACATTTTTGCTAAGCCCCGCCCCTTGGATATTATTTGCTAAGGTCCCACAAAATGGCTCTGTTCTGATTGGTTAGTTGTCGAGTTTGATTGACACTCCGGAAATATCTATTGAAAAATCCAAAGGAGTACATCTTAAGCCCTGTGCAGCCCATCAAATTTTGTTTGACAAAAAATATTTGACATACCGTACCTAAATATAGTCATGAACCAAGGAATATTTATTCTGTACAATAAAACCTGATACAGTCGTAATTTGGATCCATGTGCTTAATTAATGGGTTAAATACGTGTAACATGATATGTATATGACATCACGTAATGGCCATATATAGGTACATCATGACTATATATGGGCATACAACAGTTTTTTTGTCAAAAAATTTGATAATGCGGACAAAGCGTTAGATAAATTGGTGGCTCGATTTTTTCTAACAGAAAACCATTTACTGGCTTGTTATTAATAAAGCCTCATATTCTGTAAAATTCAAGTTACTGTACAGAGAATCACTATCTGAAACTGTAGAAAAAAGGTGCAGAAAAAAACGAGTCATACAACTTATGATAACCTGAAACACGTTCCTTTAAAAATGCTTAGGTTTTCAGGGAAGCCTTGTATCACATGCTAAGGAAAGCGTTGCAAGAAAGTTTCACGCCAGCCGTAGCATTCGCTTGGAAAGCATTCAACTTCGATGTCATCACTCAAAATATTGCAGGTGCTGTTACAGGTGGTAGCCGACCAGGTGGGTTAACTTTTGCATAATTTATTCCTGAATATTGTTAATGCACAGACCCTATTGTATTTAGGGTCTGTGGCTAATGTTATTCATTCTTACGGCGTATTATATTGTATTAAAGCATTTAAAGAAAATAAGTATTTTTTAAACCAATTTTTTTGAAATATTCTGCATTGAACACTAGAATGAACATGTTATTTATTTGTTTAAATGTAATCACTCCAAACTACCATGAGTGTGTTAACTTAAATACTAATATGCATGTTATGCAACTACCTGTATAGCGAAAAGTAAACCACTTATTTTTAATACATGTTGTTTATTCTTGGTAGCATCCTGAGTTTTTCAACACTTCTTCGTACTTGTTGATTATCACTGACTCTTATTTTTATTGTTTTTACTTCCTCTGTTGTGTCTTGGCACTACATATAGATGAGCTGTCAACTGACCTAGGTATAATGACTGGCAATTGCACATGTGTATGGTGTGTGTGTGTGTATGTGCACTTGTGGTGTACCAGCAGTTATGTAGCTAATTGTATTAGAAATAGATTTGATTAAACTTGCTTTCACCTTCCCTTGTGTGTAACCCCTATGCTTGTATCGATCTTCCCTTTACCTCTGCAAGCATGTCACTAAACAGACAAGTAACCTGATATCATTTGTTCAGTCACCCCTCCCCCTTTCTGAGATAACCCTTCTTATATACCAAACCACCTACATCCCTTGCATAAAATACTATCAAAATGATGGTGATTTACATGCTAGAATGTTTACCTTTCCCCCTCCCCACCTTCCTGGAGCTTTATCAATAGACCCCTTGCTCTCAAATCTGACCACCTTGTAGAATGACACAATGCTGGTTACAGGCCTGCTAAACCGAAATGAAATGCATGTGATTTGCTAATTCTTGTTCCATGGTTTTACTGCCCTCCCCACTCCCCCACAAATTTTAGTGATTTACTTAAAAAAATATTGTAGAATGGAGTTTTGTTTGTTAGTGAACTGTATGTTTGCATGTGTTATTTTGTTAACTAAATCTGTCTCGTTTGTGTACAGTTCCCTAAGTGTTTAAATTTGATCATTGTATTTCTCCATATGAAAAATCATTAGTAACTTGTGAAGTGTGAACAGTGGTCAAGATGTTGCAACTTTAAAAGTGGATCTTCATACTGAATGCTAATATTCATTTAAATGTTTTGAAACAATCATTTTTGTAATGATTGATTCTAACTTATTAAATGAAATTGTTTATTTGTTAGCTGCAAATGACTTTTTGACCTACCTGTATACAGTATATAATTAAAGTATACAATTATATTATGCACTGTCATAGTTTAGTTGACAAAGTTTTATAGAAATAAACTTTTGTGTTTAAATTGTGGTGTGGTTGATCTGAGCTGGGTGCTGGTATATTTAGCACATGTCTATCATTCACTATGTTTTTTACAGCAACCGGGGCTTCTAGAAAGTCAGGCAAAGCAGTTCGTAAACGTAAGTGGAGGAAGATTGGGGTTTACCTTTTGAATTAACATGTGTGTGTATCATCAGCATCTTGCTTACTGGCAACATACGAAGTCTCATTTCTTCATCATTGCTTGAATGAATGTGTCTTAGTATTCCCAACAGCTTTGCCTTAACTTTTTGCCTTCATCTATCTAACATTTGCACAGTGTTCTAATGATCTGAATCATTATGTTATTGTTTACATATAGTTGAATTAGTGTAAATTTATTGGAGTGCAGATCTAGTTTGTTATGATGTTTACCAAGAGTCCTGGTTTATTTCCCACTAAAATAAAAGTTGTTTTTTTTTCTCATAATTAAACAACTTAACACTTAAACATCTGTCTGAGACCTACTCCTCATTTTGTACACTCAGCATCAAGTGGATTGCTGTTAGATGTGAGAATTATGTTTTTAATGCTTTACCTATTAAAATCAACTAGCTGAGTATGGTATAATTTTGTGTGATTGAAAGTAGTTTTAATAAAATTCATATTTAATTGAATACCTTATAACTCCAATTGTTTTGTTACCCAAACACAGTGACATTTGGGGACAGGGTGGGTTGGTTGGTTGATCGATCATTGAACCTTAGATTTTAAAGATTTTGAATCAGTCTGGCTTTTTTTTATAATAGTTTTAATAATAGCCAGATGGTAAAAAGATTGCAGAGCTGTGATTTTTAAAGCAAGGTTTTTGATCGCAACCATAAATTTCTTTGCTGGCCATTGATTTCTTCTTACAAGGAAGCTGTTGTATAAAACTAACTGTATGCTGTGTTGAGTGACTATTAATTAATAATAATTAACTATAGTTACATCTATGAGATCTGTTGTTTTGATGTCTTCATAGGATAAGCATAAACATTTAAATACCAATTAATATAAGTATATAATTAAAAAAACCTTATTTTTTCAGGTACTGTTACCTGTTAATAACCAATCAGCATATGATTGATATTAATTTAGTTTAATGCATAGCAACATACATTACGTAATATCTATATTTTCTTATTTAATTTATATTTTAGATTTATTACAGAAACTTTTACTAAATTACATATGTTTCTTTTGCTATCATATCTGCTGCTAACATAGCCACCACCATTTTATTATCATCATCATCATTATCATCATCATCATCATCATCATCATTATCACCATCATCATTACATTTTTTCATTATCTTTGTCACATGTTCCATAAATTTTACCAAGGCTGTCAACACATTTATATACATCAATAATTCTTTTCATAGGTTGTCTTTTTCAATATCGCATGAGTTTTATATACCTACATCAATTAATTTCCATAGTGATAACATCCATCTTGTATAGCTGCATGATCCCAATACATATAGAAGGTTTTATCATAGAATGTAGTAGGCAAAACTATGACATTTAACAGCAAGCATGTTAGAAGCAGCAAGCCATACCACCTGCTGATGGCTGTACTGGGAAAGCCCTAGATGTCAACATCATATTTTACCATTTTTATATTGTAGATATTGAAATCACTATAACAGGAATATGGCATATCTGATCAAATGAATAATGTACTATATTTTTTAATCTGAAACTGTTGCACTATTTGATGATGAATGATAGTAAACTTTTGTCCAGATTATAAAATTTTCTTTGACAAAAAAATGGTGTATGCCCATATATAGTCGTGATGTACCTATATATGGTCATGATGTGATGTCATTATGACCATATTTAGGTATGCCGCATGTTCTTGTAAAATAAAGTTTGTTAGTATGGATAAATCTTAAGATGTTTGTGTGTAATATTTACTGCTTTTGAGCTAACCAGAAATATTTACCAATTTATATTTCAGGAGAAGTTCCAGAGAACTGGCAAGGACGGTTAGTTTTTTGTTTTTTGGCTTACTTATCGTCCTATTAAATTATGTAAATATAAGATGAAAATTAAAAATAAAACATTTGTTGCACCATTTTAAAAGATTTGATTCATTCACTTTTTTAAAATCATTTTCAAAAGCATACAAAATAGAATCATTTCTGTGGACCTCTTCAGTACATAATGAAATGATGATTATTGTCAGTTTAAGATTATATTTTAAAAATTTTATTTTTATGAGTGTTTTATCCATGTTTTGTTACAGACAAGCGACTGAAGAAGAGACATCGGCTATAACCCAGGTTGCTAGGTTCTGGAAGGGTTACTATGTGAGAAAAATTGTACTAGCAAGAAAACCAGGTATGTGAAAGTTGAAAATACTGTACCTACAAATGGTATTTCTATTAATTTCTGATATTTATGATATCTTAGATATTTTACTGCCAGAATTTTAAAGCAACATTGATTATTGATTGATTATTGATCTGGTGTCATCTGCATTCTATTAGGTTCTGAGCTAAATGTTCAAGTGAAGGACAACCTGTTAAAAGCTTGGGCAATTATTGAACAGAATCTGGAACAGAATGCACTGCAGCTGTTCAGGTATATAAACTGATATTTTTTTAGATGTTTAATTACATACAGAATATACTGTTGAGTACATAATGAAATGATGATTATGTTTTAGATTTAATAAACAGTGATTGAATGAATGAACAATTGAATTGAATAACTGAATGAAAAATTTAATACATAAAAGATTATTCATATCTTGCTCATGAATTGTAATGAAGGTTATCTGATTCTGATTATAATGTTTTTCCTTTTTTTTTTTTTTTTTTAATAGGAACATGTTTAAGACTGATCCCGATTTGATGCCGCATTTCCCATTCTACCAGGATGAATGGAATAAAATTAGTTATGCTGATTTTCAGGGTGTGTATGCTGATCAACCACCTAACACATGGTTCCTTGTCTTCAGGTAATTTATACACCATAGCGCAGTTGATTAAAACTGGTGGTAAACCATGGAAATCTCTCCTGGTCCTGTTATCAATGGTCTATTCTCAAGTCCGCTGTATAATCAACACATTATATACATCAATAATTCTTTTCATAGGTTGTCTTTTTCAATATCGCATGAGTTTTATATACTTACATCAATTAATTTCCATAGTGATAACATCCATCTTTGTATAGCTGCATGATCCCAATACATATAGAAGGTTTTATCATAGAATGTTGTAGGCAAAACTATGACATTTAACAGCAAGCATGTTAGAAGCAGCAAGCCATACCACCAGCTGATGGCTGTACTGGGAATGCCCTAGATGTCAACATCATATTTTACTATTTTTATATTGTAGATATTGAAATAAATATAACAGGAATATGGCATATCTGATCAAATGAATAATGTACTATATTTTTTAATCTGAAACTGTTGCACTATTTGATGATGAATGATAGTAAACTTTTGTCAAAATTTATCACCTTGGTATTTTTTAATATGTGGTATTTTTTAATATGTGGTTTTTTTTCTTTGTAGGGATGTGTTTTTTGTGCAAGAAAATCTGCTTATGGTTCCAAAGCTGTACGCTTCCATTCCAACTTGCATGCTGAGGGTGATCAACAATGATACAGGAGAAGAGATACCAAGAGTGTTCCAAAGAGTAGCTCCATACGAATACAAGAGAAACAAAGTAAGACATTTAACTGTCGTTGAGGGTGGAGGGAACCCCAAAAGCAAAAAAGTTCAAGAGCAGAGGGCTAGGTGGGTGGGGAGTATAGATTCCCCGTCCACCTATATGACATAGAGTGCCATATATTATAAAATTTAAAAAAATTGTAGATTGTATTGATGATGACAATACGGCAAGACTTTTTTTTACGTTAGCAAGCTATATTTTTTATAAAATCATAAGAGAAGAGCAAAAAAAGTTTTACCAGAGCTTTTCTCTTCAATATTTCTGGTATATAGCATTACAATTTTATATCGACTGAATGTATTTTGATGTCTTTAATACAGCGTGGTTATACATTTGTGGCTGAAGCACGCAGCACTGATATGCCAATATCAAATGGTCGCTGGAGGATGCGTCTGATTGGCTCCCTCAGTCCACTGCCTCAACCAGCACGTGAAAACCTTAACAGTGTATTCAGTGTGAAGGAAATCAGGGATTATTATCTGCCAAATAAAGAGAATATCATTTTCAGGTGAGTCTGATAAACCTGATATTAAATATTTTAGCATTAAATTTTTTAATCAATGAATTAATAAAATAAAATATGAATTAAATAAATAATATATGATGGTCAGTTTACTTGTTTCATTTCCATATAAAAATATAATATGGCACATATTGTAGCAGTTTAGATTATTTTCAAGAGTATGAATGCTCACTTGGTTTGATTTAAAAACAGAAAATGTTAGTCTGTGTGCAATGCAGCACCACTAGGTTTACCCCACTCCCCAAGAAGTGAAGGAGGTTGGTTTTACTTAGCAAAAGGGACAGTATACATTCCTATGTTGTTTTTATTCACTATGATAATGTATATGGATACGCCTTAGATATTCTGTGAAGCCTTCTGAAGATCACATAGCCAGTATCCAGATGAGTACGTCGAAATCAGATGTTTACATCAGTTTGCACGTGCTAGACAATGAGGAAGAGGTAGCAGCGACAACTGGCAGAGGTCATGCTGTAATCCCAGCATTCACTTTCATGAGAGATCGAGAACCTGGAGAAGACGAGAGGCGGTCGGGTAGTCGGTCATGTAAGATTTCCTCTATTTTTTTATTCAAAGGTTGTAAAGCAGGTTTATGGTTTAATGCATGCATGAATGAATGAATTAGTAAGTGAGTGAACAAATCCGGATGAATGGACGGATGCTGTGCGCCTCTTGGCAGCTGATTGGATATGATGTGACACAGATAAGAAGAAAGTTTTTAATGACTTAGTCCATGCCTGTGTGCAATTCAGCCTGGTTAAAGCTGCAAGTCACAGATTATTTCTACCTTTACTTTTATGAATGAAAAGATAACCGGATCAGTGGATAGATGAATGAATGGTTGAATGAGAGAATTAATAAACAAATGAACAAACAACTGAACGGATGAATGATTAAATGAGTAATGATGTATTAATTGAATGAGTATTCAATATTTAATTAAGTTTATTTGATCCAATTATAATTTGCGTGGGGCATCTACAAGTAAAAACATACTAAAATAAAATACATGAAGAAAAAGAAAATTACCTTTAAATTACGTTTCTTCTACCTATATGTAAAAGCATATTTATGGCAATTTTATTTTATTAAATACTTATCTTTATTATTATTGTATAGCTGTTAAGCGAGGTCTTGGTAGCAGCAGCAGTTTAACCTCAAAGAAGAGGCAGCAATCAGCTGGAAGTGGCAGAGGATCGGTAAGTTAAGCCATTAAACTAAGTTAAGCTTAAAATTATCCTTCTTTCCATAAATTTGGTGAGGTGCTGTAGCTTGGTTGTTAAGATGATTGCAGTCAAATCCCATTCTTATGGGCTCTAATTTGTTTTCACAACCAATAAGGACTGATGATATTAAAAAGTGTTGAATGTTTATTCATTTGTTTTTCTGTTCCCCAGAGGGCAAGTCACAGTTCTGAGAACATTGCTAAATTGGAAGATGGACTTGATGGCAGTGAAATTGACATAAAGGTGTGTGTAAACATAAATTGTGATTACTTATGTAATCTCCACTCAAAAATGTGTATTTCTACAATATCCATTTCTTAGAATCCAGATGTTAGGATTCAGTTCCACATGTTGCAATGCTTCATGTTACACTTTAGGTTTATGTCTGTTTCAGTTTCACAAACCTTACAAGTATTTATCCAATGTTTACTTGTTTCTTTTGTAAGTTGACATTTGGTGCCATTATTGTCGATGAGTAAATTGTGTTTTATTTTGTGTGATTTTATAATTTTTATTGTTTAATTGACTTGCCAATTAATAATTTTACCTTGGCTTCTATATTATATTTTAATAAAAGAAATATACAATCTTGAATCTATATTTTAAAATTTCTTTTACTTTTATAGTGAGCTGCAAAGTCCCATGAGTCAGTGGTGGTTCTAGATTACTGACAGGGGGTCTGACTTGTCCGACTTATGGGCCGAACCAAGGGGCTGACTAAGAGCCTTGGACGGCGTCCTGAAATAAAAATCCCAGATATGGTTCACAGGCAGAGTTTTCATGGCTTAGTATGGCCTTTGTTTTAGACCATACTATTAGGGAATGGAAATCAAAATAACATTATTTAGTAGCCAAATTATTATTTCATGGGGTCCTGTTGGGGGTGAGGGGAGAGGGGAATGAGGGTGTGGCAACTGTGCTACCACTGGCTTTACCACTGCCATAAGTATGCCCACATTTATTTTGCTATGTATGAATGTGATTGGCTGTCCAGGATAGTCATCCTGACCTTAGAACTTACTTGTCCCTTTAAATGTTTATTGTAAATATTAATGTCAATACCTTTTCAGCCTCATAAGTACATTATTCAGGCCAAGGTACTGCATAAGAGCTGGCCACTTTCTGAAAGCAGTTGGGCATTCGTCCAAGTTCTCAAAGAGCTTGAGAAACAGGAGTTAAAAGGTATGGAAACCTTCAGTTTTACCACAGTGTGTTGCCTTATTGTGTCAAAAAATTGACCACTTAGATCAAAGAAATGTATGTAGTGTATTTAAAAATAGAAATGAAATAATATTTATGACACGTATGCTTAACTATAAACCCTGTCTCTTATACACATCTAGATGTGTATAAGAGACAGTTTTAAATTTTAACTATGATACTTTACAATTTAGATGACATATACTGCATGTTTAACATTACTTAACAATCCCATTTCTGTGTTTTAGTTTATCTGGATATATAATTCTCTAAGTTGTCATTATATAACATATACTCAAATGAATGCTGTTTTAATGTGTTCTAAAATATTGTTTGTGTATTCAACCGTAGAACCTTTTCATCTTTCTTGAAACTCTTCACTTTTAATGAGTGCCTAGATTTTGTTTTAACTGTAAATAGTGTCTAGTAATTTAATTTTTTGAAGCTATACAAAATTGTTGATGAGTTAAACCATCTTGTTTTTTTTGTTCTGCATTTGAATGACTTTATCTTTTTGATTTTTACATTCACCTAAATATGTTTGCTGTGATTGGTTGTTTTTTTCTGCATGCTCAGCTGTTCAGCCGGTCATTACAATCTCAAATGAAGTACAAGATGTCGAGGACACGACAGTTACTGAGTTAGTTCCGCCTACTAGGTGGAAGAAAGGCAAATGTCAAAAGTCAAACAGAAAATTTAAAAACTGATCAATGTTGCCTGTCTGAAGAGTTATTAAAATAATCAGAAAATGCAAATATAGAATTATTAATAGTATAATATATAAACGATATACAATTAATACTGAAATTTTTAAAAATGAGAATGAAAACATGATTATATATATGAGGTCTGCTATCCCAAAACCAGCATCAGTGAATTAGTGACCAAAAAAAAAAATGAAAATTTACTTTATCTTATTGACCACATTATAAGCTTTAAAAGGATTGGTCTTTTACTAGAATTGACTTACTATTCAGCCAGTAACATAAACAAGTGAATACTATACAATTAAATGAAATTTAACAAATACTTGAGACAATATATAACCCAAGTTGGCTAGGATTATCTATAGTGTGAAAAACACTCTGGCTCTCAGGCCTGTTAGTGCCAAAGTTATGAGTTAAATTATTACAAATTCTCTGTACCGAAGTATACAATACTGCCATATTATTATGCTAGTTACTCAGTTTACATTGGTTTTGGGATGGCGAGCCCTCTTATATGATTTCAAGACCAAATTCATGGAACTCTTGACTCAAGCAAATATTGATTGCACCAAAGTAGAAACAATTAGAAGCTTATTTCGTACACACATCTCATAGTTTTTCTCCTTATTTTATCAATTAGAATTAGAAACTCAACAACTCAATTCATACATCCCATCATATTTTTTTGTTTTTTTTTTATAAATTAGGGACTCGCATTACATTTTTTCTCCTTGTTTAAAAATAGAAAATCAATGTATGTATCTATCCAAATTTCTTTCTCATTATGTTATGAATTTGGAACTTAATTCATACATACACATTTTATAGTCTTTCTCTTTATTTTACCTATATGCCAATTTGTACTTTGAACTGTGCAAGCCCATATCCAAGTTCAATCAGCATTAATCTATGTTGTGTGTATGTTTTGCTTCACCTTGATAGGGGCATGCGCAGTTCAAACTATAAATTGGCTTATTAGAAACTCAACTTTACATACATTCTATAGATTTCCTCATTACATATCAGTATATCATTTCTTCAAGGAGAATACATTCTTTCAGCATAGATCGGATAGTAGTAGGAAAATTCCTTCTTATGCTGCTTATATTTGCTGTGTATACAGTATATTATACTGCTTAGCTCTCTGCATATATGCAACTGTAATTTGCATACACATTTGCCTATTTGCATATTTATTTGCATACTTCCAATACTCTGCACGGCTGATTTTGGTTCATATTCTCTCATACTAAGTAGTGTACTTACTTTGATCATTTCAGATACTCAGGTGTTCTGGTCTATGTTTTTTAATACTTTACCTGGATAAACCCATAAATAGCTCACATTGCGATAGCGCAGTTAATACACGGAATGTTTATGTTATATATTATTAGCGCAGTTACCATTTCGTATATATACTGTGCTATGAAATTCAAGGCATTTATCTGTTTATCCACTTAAGTATCTTACTCATAAACTAACAACATCACTGTTGATTTGTTTAATTCTTTATAAACATGGTTGATATCCAAAGAACTTGAATATTTATGAACAATGTGTGAGTTAATTTAAATAACATGTTAATTCATTAATACATCATTTATTCATGAATTGTGTATTCATAATACTAAGGTACCTAACGAACTAACTTATTGTGTATTTATGAATAGGTGATTTTTGTTAATTCATAAATACCCAAGTACATCAGATAATCATCATCAATCAACATTGATTTATAAAGAAATAAACAATCTTCATCCCACCTTTATAAAAAATATGAGGCATTGCATCTAGCTTAAAGTTTAATGATGACATTCAAGGCATGAAATTCATCAGTGTTTCAATTGATGCCACATTGCTTCCTATAACTGTAATGAAGTTTAGGTTAATCATTTGCAAAAGACTTGATGCTTAGAATGTTAATAGAATTATTGGTGGCAGCACATTGGATAATTGATGAAAGCCTTATGAAAAACTTGAATGCTAATTATTGATGGAGTGATTTGTGATTTCTCTTAGATGCTTAGCTTTTGCAAAAATTTTATCTGGTATTCAAGAGGCTTAACAATTTAAATAATAATTGTTGGAAGTTTATGAGTGAGAGTGGAAGCTTAAAATATTGATTAAGTGATTTTCTTTATAATCTTGAGGGTTTAAATACTGGCTTAAGGGCTTGATGGTGCATTGCATAATAATATGTTGTGAAATTTTCAAAACTGGTTTGAAAATTTCATATCTACAGAGAAGGTGGCTACTAACATCTTCACATTTGAAAGCAAATAATAAATCTTTTTGTAGTTTATTAGTTCAACACATATTTTAAATTTTGTTCACAGCCGTCAAAGACAGACCCATCACTCCAAAGGGAGATAAAGGAGGCTCGTCCAGGACAGAGAAGAAGAAGGGTAAAGATAAAGGCAAAGATAAGGATAAGGATAAAGAAAAAGGGGCCTCAAGACCATCCTCTCAACAGTTTGATGTCACCAAGCCAAACTGGACATTGCGAGTTGTTCTTGACCAGACACCAACGGTCAGTATCTTTCTTTCGCTACACAAACACAAAAATCTGAGAACATAATTCATCTGTAGACTATTTTTGTGAATACTAGATTGATACTTTAGATGAGTACCCACTAAAAAAATAGCAATGTCCGTCCAAGGCCACCACATGCATGATCTCTCCACCTAGAAATGGGTAGCGGGTAGAATTTAGTACCAAGCTCTTATTCTAGCTGCTTATGGAATGGTGCTTCCCAGGGGGCTGAATATGTCAGTGCTCATTAGGTGGTTTTGCAGATAACCAGGGATGGTAAGTTAAAGTGCATATACACAGTTTATTGTCATATTAAATGTTGATTTACATATTTTCGCAGGAGGAAGTGGAAATCAAGAAAGATACTGAACGTCAAGATCAGATACGAGCGATGAAGCAGGCCTGGGAAGCCGCGGAACCTGGAAGAGCTGCCAAAGCAAGAGCTGCTCGTGAAAAGTACCTTAAGGAAAATATGATTAAAGTGGAAGAACCTACGGATAATCTAGCACAATCTGCCACAGATTCTGGTGTGTAAGATTTTTATTTCATTGTTTGTATTTATTTTTACCAATCGTACATTATTCTTGTGTATTGTATAGCAGAACCTTTCGCCTTCTAACTTGTATAATATTTATTATAGATTTAGTGCCTACAGATGTGGAGCAGCTACCATCAGAAGCAATTCTAACAAATGAACCTCCCCCACCGCCACCACTAAAAGAGGTGTTGAGAACAGTGGATCTCACCCCTCATCAGAGGTATGAAACAACTTTTGTTTTCTTTTTCTTCTAAAATCAAATTTATCAACAAATGCTTCTACTAAATATCCTCTTGATATGTTGTTTAGACCTCCAAACTTTACCGGATCTCCAAGATTGAAAGATGAGGAGGAAATTGCTAGGCAACAGGAGGAGAAGATGAGACAAATTCAGGAATACCGGTCTTTCCGTGAGGCACTTTGTGATAGCAGGGAAGAGGACCGCATACAGAGAAATTTAGCCAAAGAGAAACAGCTGCAAGAATGCATAAGATTGCAAGTGGGTTGCTATGTTTATTTTGTAAAGTTATGTGGGGTGTGGTGTTGTAACATGCAGGTAGATTTAAAAGATATTCCAGGTGTTTATGTAATATATAACTGTTTTTCTGGTTCTTATTCTGTATCTGGTTTTATTGATTTTCCTTTTTTCATTTCTTGACTTTATTGAGGAGGAGCGCCTTGAGCGTTCATTTAAGACGGATACTGGCGCTTTCAATTTGTTCAATATTATTATTATTTAAGGTTATTTAAATTTCTATCATTTTCAACAGACTGAGTTGGATGAAAGACGTCAGAAGTTGAATGAGCCAAGAGAAGCTTATCGCCAGAAGTTCCTAGAGGCTGAGCGTAAACGTCTTGAAGAGATTGCTGCAGAGGAGGCGATGTTGAAGGCGGAAGCTGAAAAAAGATCACCATCTCCAAAGGGAAAGAAAAGCCCAAAGGGAAAGAAGAGTCCAAAGAAGGGAAAGAAGAAGTAGTAGAATCAACAGCTGCACAATAAAGACAGATATAGATTACAGCACCCAACACCCCCCTCCCCAAACATGCAGTACACATCCAAACACAAATTGACAGAGATTTACCTGATCATTTCTCATTTTATTTCCTGTCATCATATTTTGCAGATAATCAAAGTTACTACATGATAAAGTTTATTAGCCAAAAATCATTAATTTTATTTTGAACAAGTTCCTGATAATGAATGTAAATATATTTGATTATAATTCTAGCTGTTGTAAGCTATTGTGTGTGTGAAAGCTATTCCGTCCAACTTCTGTCCTTTTAATATAAAGAATATCTTAAACTAATCAATAGGTACGTCAAGTTCAGCAAAATGATGTTATAGTGCCAGTCTCTTTTGATGCCTGTCCAAACTATCAAAAACACATGTGACATGCCTAAATATGGTCATGATGACATCACATCATTACCATATATAGGCACATTGTGGCTATATATGGGAATACAAAAGTTTTTTTCTCAGACAGAGACTTACAATGGTATAACCTTTATTAAGTTATAGTATAACTTTTCTTATTATGACACCCATGTGTTATACAATAGTATGCACCCATAGTGATGTCTGTGTTGTACAATGCCCTGACAGGAGTCTAGATTTGCTCAGAACCTCTCAGAGGGGGTTCAGGGCATTTACATGTTAAGTTTGTGTAACTGAATGCTTTTGATATTCTATAATCTTTTATATATGTCACAAAATGTTTAGTATAATTTGAATGATTCCATATCCTTTGATGAAATAATTTATTCCAAATATTAATTTAATCTATCCTTGTATATACTGTATACATGGAACCTGTTTATTTATTATTTATCAGTTATTATTTTGTATATTATTTATTTTTATGTTAAGCAAACAGATATATTAATATTGATATAATACTTCATCTGATACGATAATTTAAAACTTGTACAAAGGTAACATCAGTTCTTACTATTGCAAATATGTGTGTTAGATATTTGACCAAAGCTGAATAAACTGTTTGTATTGAAATTAAACTAATGAACATATTCCTCTTTTTTTATTGACTCTCTGTTACTTGGTAGTAAATGTGATTTAATAATAATTCTCAGTAAGATCCAGAACATTATCATATTACCATTAAAACATGTGCATCTTTTTTTATGTATATAATTATATCTTCAAAGTAATTTTAAATCTAATTTTATTTATGATCAGATTTATTTATGGTGACATCAGATTTATTTATGGTGATATCAGTTGATTTGTGTGTCCCCACGGCACGGCCCTTCATTAGCGATTTCCAAGCGTGGGTTATTGGTACACTTGACGGCAAACAAGACACACCGACTTGGGTATGTTATGGCATCAGTTCCACATACAGTATCAACCTCCAAAGGACAGTTGGTGCGACATGGTGTTGTGGTGTTGGTAGTAGTGGTAGTTGGCCTAATAGTAGGCCTAAGAGTTGTTACACCTAAAAAGAATAACGTAATTGAAAAGTCAACTGTAATTAACACAGATATCACATTTAAACTATAAAGCTGCAGTATTGTCTATGTGATTATCATTAAAGATGTACTGTCCCTTGCAAAAACAAAAAAAGATCATAAAAATCCTTTTTGAAATTTACTTGCCCATTTTGAAGTAACATAAAAATTATCAAATTGAAAATAGAAATTAGTGTATTTAAAAAATGCTTACCCATAAAAACCATCGTTTTACAGCGAAAAATTATCCAGTTAACAAATCAGGGAACACATTTTTTAAATTTAATAATTTCTTTGCTGAAGTTAATAATTTGTATGTTACTGCAAAATGAGCAAGTTTATTTAAAAATTATTTTTTATGATTTTGGTTATTTTTACAGTATTGTTATAGTTAATAAGGTCATTGAATTTGCAAGACAACAATAATTAATAACAGAGTTTTGACATTTAAACTATGAAGTTGCAGTATTGTGTTCTATTACCATTTATATCATCATAATTAATTTTTATATTATTAATTAATTTGATATAATATTAATCTTTAAATTATTAATCTAAGTATATTAATATTACTAATAATTATTACTATAGTGAATAATTATATTAGGCCTATTAATTTTATATATGTATATTAATATTAATAATGTTAATATAATAAATTATATAAATATGTAAATAGATAAATATATTAGGCCTATTATTTATTGATGTATTAGTAATTATTCTTATATAATGAATTATATAATTAACTACATTTAGGCCTATTAATACACATATTAATATAGATTCATTCAATTTGTTGACATTACCCTCACAGACATTTGATCAAAAATATAGATAAAAGTACGATACAACATTAGAATGTTCAAAAAATAAATTTGTTTAGTAGGCATTCACTACAAAATGTGCGGCGTAAGCATAGTAAATATTTGTCTCCCTACCTTTAGACTGAGTTGGTGAGACACAGCGCCCTTTGTAGTCCACGTCAAGATTGCTGTTACCAGTCAAACATTTCTGACGACATAATTCACACTTGGTGTATGTGATACCGTCGGTTCCACATACTTCATATGCTTTTCTGGTGTACGGCCAATTATAATACGATGACGAGGAGCACCGAGCGCACCCACGGGGACCTGAAATTAGAAAAAAAAAGGTCAATGCGTAGGATTTATCATACAAACCCAACAAAGGGTATTTTCGTCATTGAATTTCGAAATGTCTGTACTTATTCTTATGATTAATAATATTTTAATGTTTACAAAATAACCGTATTATGAGGCTTTTATAAACAAATAATTAATCACATTGTGTTTCATCTTTATATTACATTAGAGATGTACTACCACCCAAAAAATAAAGAAAAGCCCTTAAAAATAACCGCATAATGTACCTGTATACAACTTTCAGTAGATTATCACTGATCGAAAACAAGTTTTCAAGGACAATTTATATAGAATACTGAATGGTACCGTTTAACTGCCGAGGGATATTTTCTCGTTCTAATTTTCAATTGAGAGTTTACAACTTAATGAAAAATACAAATTCAGAAATTCAAAAATTGTTTTTTCCAAGTTTGTATTTATTTTAGGTGACAGACACAACATATCTCTTAAATAATGTGAACACGTTACTTATTCTTTCCATCCATTGCAGGGATAAAATTATTCTGTTTTTATTTTGTAATACACTGATTTAGTAGATACGACAATGAATTTTTGTTTCCTTTCTCCGAATGGAATAGTCAACCTTCTTTTAACCAATGAAAACATAATAGTAGTACAGTGTTACTATACTGTATTAGGTACGTGGAGGTGGATGCGTGAAACAACATGAATGGAACAAACATTAACGAAAAAAGCGTGAGGATACCCAGTGTCCCGTGATATTAAATAATAATAATAATTATAATAATAATAATAAATCCACCAATCAAGTTACAAAGATCTAAGTAAGTGTGTTATAATATATTAGATATTATTTACCATTGTCCATACACCGTCCATAAGCCGCGAACTTTAGACAGGTGTTAGTACACGTAGCTTTCCTCAATTCGCAGAAATTTCGATACGTTTTTCGATCATTGCCGCAAACGTACTCTACTTTATTTGAACACTTTTGGTTTGTAGGCCTGTCTTGTGGATGTCTTCTGTTATTGTTTGTTGGTCTGTTCTTTTGTTTGTGGTAGTTTTTTCGCCCGCGATCTCTTCCACGCCGAGCAGACGATTGGACCACTGCAACAGCCAATAACAGGAGAAAGAGCAGGAACAAAAATTTCATATTGCTAGAAAGTACAAGTTCAAAATGAAATAGTGCTGTTAGGTTTTTCGATGTTGGTAACAACAATAACAAAAACGAGGATGCTACCGTGGCCTTACTGCGTCTAAAATAATTATAAAGATAAGGGTGACGATGATGATAATGATAACGATGATGATAACGACGATGATGAACCTGATGGTGATGATGGTAATGTTGTGGAAGACGATGATAATAATCATAATATTAATAGGCTTATTAATAATGATAATAAAATATAATAGTAATAATAATTGTTAAAATTATCATTTGCCTTCATTGCCTGGTAATGTTGATGAAGACGATGACGATAATAATAATATTAATAGGCTTATTAATAATGATAATATAATAGTAATAGTAATTGTTAAAATTATCATTTGCATTGTATTTTAGCAATCATCTACAAAGACTACTTGGGCCTAGACAAACATGCAATTTTAGCATTTGTGTCGGCTAAAATAGATAAAATAAATAATAAATAACAATGTATATTGCATACCTTTCTAATTGTGTACGTCCCGAAACAATGCCAATACTGAAATGCTTCGCATGTCGTCTTGCCCACTTTCTCACAATATACATCCATGATCTCATATCCTGATGGAATGAAGTGGTCCATTGTCACATGGATGTCATCACAAATTTTAATCCACGATTAATGGATAAACAAAAAGGATTTTGTATCAGGGCCATGGTTTTTGCGTTCTCTGACCTGACTGCTTGGTGGTGAAATATTTGATCCAGCATGCGTACTTTTAGCATCGTCGCGGCTAAAACTTCCGATATGTATTTCACTCAATAGGCCCATCTTTGTATGTAGGCCTACGTACTGAGGGTCCCAATTTGTACCACCCTCACAAAATGTTGTTGAAATAAGATTAAAATTTTTAAAGTGGCATAGTGTTTTTGTAATCTGTATGTGGCAGAGAACACAAAACCGGAAATGGCAGAGGTAAACAATCGTTAAATTTTTGCGTTTTTGCCAAAATGTTAGTAGGCCTATTTTTCACTTAGTCGTTTTTCGGCTGACTATTATATTATAATAATCAAGAACCACGAACACATCGCGTACAGTATGTTTGAATTAACCTTGTTAAAAAGTGACCTGGCTTGATTGAATCTTTATTAATATACATAACAGCCGGGCTTTCGTGGACCAGCGGACACATTGATGGGAAATACTTTTTTTATACAAAATACAGAAACATGATAATCGTGATGCGAAGTTATTATTATATATATTCTCATCATTGTCATTATCATATAGTCGGAAATCAATAATGGTAGCCGTGAAAAGAATGATCAATCCGGATAGACAGGATATTTCATATCAATTGTCAACTTCCATAAAATCAAATTGGTGATCACATACTTTAAGGACATGGGAAATGTAGATCTCTAGAACCCGGTATTCAAACCTTTTTATATGGTCACCCTATAAGCCACACTGCCTCGGCGACCCTGCCTCCATCCACCTAACATCGTCTACGATTTTTTTTTTCTTAGAATCCGTTTTCATTTTGATTAAAATGTTAAAATGATTATATAAGAATTAGATGAGTCACTGTCTATAAAACAATTTGCGGAAGAGGAGTATTCAAAATATCGGAACTAATAATAATAGGACTAATCAGAAGGCTGACGTTTTTCTCAGTTGACAATTGATTTTATGTGGATTTTTTATGTTAAATTCTTATCTATATACACTCAAGAATCTTTACACACATTTTCATCTGCTAAAAAGTTACGTAGATGAAGTAACGGTGTTCCACAAAGCTGGTTGGAAAAAAACATACCAACCTGCTGCTCTCTGTTTGAATAGTGGTCGTTTCGGAACGATCACATGCGGCAACATGCTTGGTCAACTTGTAAAAATTCAGAACATTCCGTTGTTTGCTCGGGTATGAATTCAAATAATTAACACTTAGTGGTCCACTCTTATCAGATTTTACAACCAATTTTTTACATGCATTTTACATTAGCAGTCTGCTGTATACTATCTTTTTAGACTGTTTAACATGCATTCACCTGCTTGGTCATCTTGTTTAGGCCTACCAAACTTTCGGATCACATTTGGATTCAGGAAACGTTCAAAAGCGCACGGTTATAATACATTTTTATTGTATGCCTTATAGCAGCTATAATATATTTTAAAACAGCTTGCTTAGTATCGAATTTTGTTATGCCATAGACAATCTTTTTAAAATTGATTTACGGAGTGTGTATATACATGTAAAACAAACATTAGCAGTTAACTGTATACGATAATATTTGTAC